AAAAATCGTAACATTTTAAGATCTGTCACGTGACATGAGATGATTTGTCCACTGGGTGTGGTAAAAAATAGGATTATTTCCAAATAAAGCTGTAAAAAGCATTGAAAATAAGAGTTAACTGTCAAAACTTAGGTTCATTACACAGAACAAAACAGAAACTTACATGATATGCTTATTTGACAGTCAATTCTTGTTTTGTAAAAGAGCAGGAAGTGTTGGCGTCAATACTATAAAACACTACTTCAAAAGGCTGTGGTTGGTTTCCATAGCAACCATTTTGAGTAAAACTCTAGAAATTTAATTTCTCTTCTTGAGTGCAATAGCACACAATTGATCTTTCTTCACCATATTCAAACAAACTTTTGGGTCCATTTGAGGTTACCATACCACCTTAAGAGTGAATGCAAGGAGTATCCGCCGGGACCAGAAAAAGTGGCCGTCGTAGAGAGGTGGTCGTTAGTGGAATTTTAACTGAATTATACGAGGTCGCCTCCACCAGCTAGCTCCATCCTCCGATTTCGCAGATTGAGGCTTTGTAATCGTACACCTACAATCGCCTTCAAGCCGGTCCTCTCGTTCTTGAATGCAATGCATATAATCATTAGCCACTACGAGTCAAAGAAAGGGAAAAGCGGAATTTAATATTCTGGTCGATAACAACACACATCACATACTTTCTGTGTGAATTTTAATTACTTTTGCAATTAGATGGTCATCCTTCGACCATTACGCCTAGCTAACACTATATTCTCTAGTGTATTTCTATTCTCGCAGTGAAATAAGCCGCCGTTCTTCGTTCTTCCTTGAAAGTCTTCTTTAAAAAAAAATTCTCCTTTTTTCTCGGTAAAACAAATTTACCAAACAAAATCAAACACAAGAACCAAACTACAAAATAATTTGCTGTAACATAATTTCACTTATACTCAGGTTATCTGGTTACAAAACTGATATTTTTCAACTTTATTTTCATATTGACGCATACCTGGTGATAACCCGAGCGAGTAGGTTTCACCAGTGCGGAAAATAGCCTTGAATTTCGTGGTATTTTTTTTCAAAACATGCGAAGTAGCCTTGGTGGGGATTCAGGCAATGAAATAAAATCTCTAGAAGTAATAGACTGTTTTCGATACATTAAAATTCAGCTTGGCAGTGAAACTTAGAGAACACAAACAAAGGGAACTGAATGACAAGTTTATTCATTTCTTTTGTTTGTGTCCTCTAGGCCTCACTAACAAGCTGAATTTTAATATGTCGAAAGTAACCTATTCCCTGAATACTAAACTAAGCGGTGGCCTGAAATGTCCTCTTCAACCCTACGGCCGGGGTCAGGATTTATTCCGGGCTATCCGGCTAACTGGGCAGACAAGACTAATACTGAACGTAAGATTAAACACAATGCCAATACTAGATTACTACACCAACTAAATTTAACAATATATCTAAAACTACTCATTGGTGACATGGAAATAAAATATTCTTGTTAATTATAGCCGCCGTCAAAGTCGTTTTTGAGGATCGTCATATAACAGAGGCTCGATTTCCGCCGCACACTCGAGTCTGGTCGACGTTCCTCCCCGGGAGGAGAGGAGCGGGGGCTCCTTTCCCGAACAGCGGTTGGTAATCGAGCCTATGCGTAAACCCTTCACAGAACGGGCGTCATCACACGACATGATAAAACTCTGCAACGTCGTTCTCTTTCGGAGTCACAGGGCGCGTGCGTGCGGCTCAAAATCACCGAAAAAAAAAAACACTAGATTTTGTTCCTTTTCAATTGTCTTTTTTCAAGAAATTTAAATGTGAAATCCAACCAAGGGTTTTTCTTATTACTCCTGCAATTCAACATCATTCTCTCACACTCCCCGCCCCTAAATAGAGGATTTCAGTGAATAATTATATTGCACGCGTAACATTCCATTCAGGCCATTCCTTGAGTAAACAGCCTCTCTTTGAGCGCTCAAAAGTGACGACTCAGTGTTATTCCAAACTGAGGACACAGATATATATTTTCGCGAAAAAAATTTAAACCAGGCAACAACCAATCATAGACTCCGTAAGGATCTCTGCAGAACACGTCATCATCAGTGCGGGATTTTTTCCGGTGGAATCTGATCTTGGATGGAAATATTCAGGGCGAAGCAAGAGTGAGCGCGCAAAGAGACACGTCTATATACAGTACGTCAAGAAACTCTCCAACACATCCTCAAATTAAACAGCCCAAAGTACTGTCTGTTAAAGCGGGTTCAACCGTCGCGCTATCGCCGTGTGCAACTCGATTGTCATACTTTTATCTTTCTTCTAGAAAGCAATACATTCTGATCGTCAAAAATCCAGATTAGCAGGCAAATTAGCACTAGTGTGCCTTGACATTTGAATCTACATCACGCCGAAGTCGGCTGACTCCGCTCGAAGTTGATTGAAACCTTGACCTATAGTTGGGCTCAAGTAGAACTTAAATCCATTATTTCAATTTAAGTTGGACACGACAGTAGCAGCTAATAGCGCGACAGTTGAACCGAGCCTAATCAAGTAACGAGAGTACGGCCTCGTTCAACTTGGCTTTCTTCTGAACATACAGGAATTCCTTGATTGGACAGCATAGTTCAATTACATTTGATATTCGCGATACATAGGGTCTCTACATTATCAATTCAATATAAGCTGAAGGAACATAGCCTTCGTCATCGTCCTTTAAAACTTTCGTCCAGCCACTGTTATCGTAATCTTGCTCCAGAACTACAAGCTCTTCTCCTTCACTCACTGACAGTTCACCGTCGTTGGTTGCTGGGAAAATAACAGTGATACATGTTCAGCTTAGTTGCTGAATGTCACGCGTGCTCACATTGGTCATTTCTTCGTCAATTAGCATTGCTATATCCCCGACTCAAATACGTTTTCCGATTGGAGGAGAACCTGTCACGTGTCATGGGTAAAACCTCACCAACTCCCTAGGGCGAACAAAACTCACTAACCCCCTAGGAAAACAACTACTTGAACTTTTGACTCGCACGTGATCAGGTCGTGCTCCTTGAAACCGCGGCAAATTGCGTGCCAGCCACGTCAAGCAAATTATTTTTCGCAGTTATTTCTGTTTTTTTTAGTAAGAAAGTATAATAAAACACTAAATGATTGCTCGCACGGGAAACAGTGAGATTTGTTTCCTCTCGACCCTTCATGATCAAGGTCTCGGGAAACAAAACTCTCTGCTTCCCTTGGGACCAGACATTACGTGCTTAATGATCACATTTTAACGTAGCCTGTACAAGGAACACCACCCCGAGTTAATTCTAGTGAGGGGAAATGCAAAATTCCACGAATTCCAAGAGATAAGGTCGTTACACAGTCCTTAAACAGAAAAAGTAAAAACAGAGAAAAATGAAGAAGGGTATTACCTTGGAAATCATAAATTACTTTACATTGAAGCTCTTCTTCTTCAAACTCCTCGTCATCAGGCTCCTCAGCAGGTGGCACTAGCAAAGCCGGCGGAGGGGCAGGTGCTGGTGGGACTGAACCTACAGCAGGGGCTGGGGCTGGGGCAGGAGCTGCGGCAGGGGTCTCATCAGAAAAGTCTCCAGTCGGCGCTGGGGGTGGTTGGACCTTGCTTGCCTTTGAGTACACTTCAGGAGCTGGAGGGGTGTCCCTGTTCTCCAAGGCTGCTAGGTAGCACTGTAAAGAAGACATGCAAAAGAGGTAAAAGGAATATCTTGTTACTAAGTGAATTTCACAAAAGTTGATTCTTATATCCTTAAGGAAAGTAGTGGTAAGAGCGTTCGCCTCCCACCAATGTGGCCCGGGTTCAATTCCGGCCCGGTGCCATATGTGGGTAGAGTTTGTTGTTAATTCTCGCCTTGCTCCGAGGGTTTTTCTGTGGGTTCTCTGGTTTTCCTCCCTCTGAAAAACCAACATTTCCAAATTCCAATTCGACCAGGATAGAGGACCTGCACGAAAACCACCTAGGGCTGGTGTGGCTTCCTCTCTAAAATGTATTAAGTCTATTCGCAGTATCTTACCTGGTATTTGTATAAGTCTACATTAAGAGTATCCAGTTCTTTAGCATTTTCACTCAGCTGTTGTTCAATGGTGTTTGGGTCACCAAGGGACGGGTTCTGCCTGTACACGTCCACCATTTTCTCCATACCTTCCCTGCAACACAATATGAACGTGAATACTGTGATAATGTGAATAATGATAATGTGAATGAATACGTAATATAATTATTATTATTACTACACATACAGTGAAACCCCGTTAATCCGGTCACCAAGGGGCCACAAAAATCTGGCGGTATTAACGGGGTGGCCGTATTAAAGGGGTTCTGTAAATAAGAAAATGACAGACTAAGTATTTTTTCGGGCCAGAATAAAGTGGTCGTAATAACAAGGTGGCCGTATTAACGGGGTGGCCGTAAGGCGGGATTCCACTGTACTTATGTTTTCTTAAAGTTTCAGCTAGATACACCATCCCACAAACAAACCTGCTGTTTTAAACAGAATCGTGTCTAAATAAAGGATTGTTGTTGTTGTGACTTTGTCTCGTAATTAAAGCTCGTACCACGCAGATTTTTACCATGTGTTCTCAGCCTCGTTTTGAGCGGTTTTAACCGCTCAGTTCACAGAAATTCAACAACAGTGACAAGAGTTCACAGACAAGACGGACAACTCGACAAATAAGAGGAACACATTAAAAGGTGTAGACTGCAAAACAGTCGTTTTTTCTTCCCTATTCGGACGGCGCAAAGCGTCGTAAGCGTGATCCTCGCCCGTGAAGCGCGCGAGCCTCACACCCGGTGTGTCTCTCCCCAGCCTCCCTCGCCGTTTCTACACTCTCTCCAGACCTTTCGTTCGAATACCGCCCGCGTCGCTCGCGTTCGCAAAAAGCAAGACTGTTTTGCAGTCTATAAAAGGTGGCGAAGATGAAGGAAACGAATTACAATATCGACAACCTTAATTGGCTTGGCTTCCTCTCAGCTATGAAAAAAAAAAATGACATTCTACAGAGTTTGCTCAACAAATTACCTGGAGTTCTTTAGCTGCGCCACTTGTGACTCTAACTGTTGTACTTTCTTTTTACTCGTTCGAATCTTCTGTCCTGGTGTTAACGTTTGATCATTGCCGTCTAACCCAGCTTCACCATGCTGAAGTGATAACGTGTTAAAATCAGCCGTATGTACGCAGTTAACCTTATATTTCCCACCACCACTCGAGTGATTAGTCAAGCAACGGTTCGTATTTTGATGAGAAGTAGTCGAGCCGAAATACCCATGGAAAGACCAAACGAGACTGGTATGCCACTGAGGCATGCCAGGGTATTTACTGTACCCAAAAATAGGCCAAATTTGGCCAAGTGACCTTGATACCCATCGTAACCATATCAGGTCAGTGACTTGGCTTCTGGTTTGCTAATTCTGAATTTGGGTACCATAATGAGTAAGAACAAACACGAAAGACCGTGTTTGATCACATTTCCAAACACCGAGAAGAGAGTTGAAAATACGGCGTGCAGCGCAGTATTTTTGACGAACTTCGAGACAAATTTTCTGAAACTTTCAGACCCTCTCTGACTCTCATGTTCACATATAAAACAAATAAAGTAAATCATGTCGTACACAGGACTCTTCTGAGGTTAAATGTTTTTAAAACGCGATGTCTCGGGCAGTTTTACTGCTCTTCTTCAGTCACCGTAGTTCCAGCTCAATACATGCATGGAGGAATTTGGCGTTTGGCGTTTGGCGATCTCATCTGAACATTTCGGAGCGAAGAAGAAGGACTTGAGCTTTTTAAGGACTTGGGGACTGCATTGCCTCACCTTTATAACATTTATCACGCGCGCCAATTGCATCCCTTGAATAGCAACGCGGAGGCGAAGGCGGAGGCGGAGGCGGTGAAACCGAATGGTTTAGGGCGCTGGATTTGAAATCTGGAGGTCCCTGGTTCAAATCCTCCTCCCTACCGCTATTTCGATTTGTTCTCGGTAGTCCCGAGTTCAACTCCTCGACCGCGTCGTGAAAATATCCAATAGGTCAGCCTCCCACCAGTTGGGATTCTTAATAGTTTATGTTCTATTTGCAATATTTGTTCATTTATTTACAGTGTCCCTAATTGGCACAACAGTGCTAAGTACATTTGACACCTAATAGAACTTTTTATTTATTTTCACTTTATTTCATACTTACTTTTTTCGCTTTTTTACTGAAAAACCCACCACCACCTTTCTTCTTCTTGACTTTTTCCACGCTCACAGGTTGTCTTGTCAGTGTCTGCGCCTTACTGCCATACTCCTCAAATTGAATATCACTGGGCGGCTGGTAAGCTGTTTTATTCTGTTCACACAGAAGTTTACTGTCCTGTAATAGCAAATTTTGAGATTAAACTTCAGTTTCTGAACATGGGACTGAATAACTTTTCTGGCCTTCATGTACAGAGGAAAGTAGAGCGCACTTATGTGGCACTACAGACCATAACTCATTCGTTTTTTTACCATTGGCGTTTTAAGAATCAAGTTTCTACAGCATGACGTGACATCAAATATTGTCAATTAAAAACCCCCTGTACTTTGTCAGGGTGCCACGACAACCTGCTGCTAGATATGTAGCTATCTAGATTTACTGGTTATTGATATTGGCTAAGATCTGTTCTTTTTCGCGCAAACTTATGGACCTCATTTGCATCTCACGCAAAAAAAAAAAGAATATTGATGCCAATATCCAGTTTTCATAACCGAACAAGCTTGATCAAAAAATGATTCCTCACTATGGCCTACAGTATGTCAAATTCTTGGGTGATGCAGATGGCCATGCCAGGCGGACAAGGTAGCCCCACCTTGCCTGCCTGAGTAGCCAATCACAGCACAGGATTTGGTCCGTCTTGCCCACTCGTGGAGCTGTAATAAACCTGGGTATCACTGGTCTCCTTCGCAGTCACTCAGGGCAGTCACACAATGCCCCCCATCCCTTTGCGCGACCTCGGCCTGAGTGGCTGCGAACGAGACTAGTTTATCACAGGCTGCATACTGTTTTCTTCCATTTTACCTTTTTGTGTCAAAATGAGTCTGTGAAGAACCATTCAAACGAAAACGTTTTTCTCCTTCACATTCATTTTCAACACATATCAACCGAACGTTAAATCAAAAGTTTTGCATGTGGTCTTGTTTTGAGACAGAGGCAAAAGGCAACTGGAAATTATGGCCTTTTCACAATACCTGTGGTGGATTGACGGACTTTCCATTGTCCTTAATGTTATCCAGGCATTTTTGTATTATAGGCATAACTTTGGTCTCTACGTTAGAATACTCCTCTAGAAGTTCGCCTGTTTTCTGTATTCTCCGTTCATCCATTTTCTGTAGTTCCTGGAGGTTTAGGAATTTAAACAAACAGAAAAATAAGCTAGGTAATAAAAGTAAGGCAGCAGGTGGATGAATGTTACAGAATTGAGAAGCCATCGTATTGCTTTTAAAAGTAGCTCACTTCTTGTGCCACCTTGGCACACTAGTAAAACTCTCAACTATTTATAAGCATATAAGCTGATAAAGGTATAGTAAGTCATCTACTGTCAGTAGTGAGTTAATGGAGCATACGTTTTCAGTGTTACTGTAGCTTGATGAAGGGCTGATGTCGACATTTTGCCTTCAAACTTACTACATGGCAGTTAACTTACCCTAATCACCCTCAAGTGTGTACCTACCGTAGCTAGGTGTACTGCCAGCCCCTGGCAGAGATGCCATCCCATTACTAGTTACTCCAAAGCATTCTATCAGGCTAACCTATAAATTCTCTGGTACCCAGTTATCCTCCTGGGTAGAGAGAGAGGCACTGAGAAAGCAACTATGTTGCCCCACAACCCTATGCGACAACCCTAGTTAGATGTCTCTGTAGCTGACAAAAAAAGTACTGGTTTGATACATACATTAAACACTGCTGGCATCTCATTGCTGTAATGCAAGGTTTGCTTGCTGTTTGTCTGCTCCAGTTGATTCCTGTATTCTTCCCTAGCTCTCTCCAATGCCTGGCCTTTCTCTACTGATATATTTTTGTACTAAAAGAACAACAGGTCGTTAGTTAAATTGGGATGGATATTCAGAGCTTTCCTTGCCAGTGAATTTTATTGCCTACATGGGAGCAACTGTTTACTGTGATTTTCAGGCACAAAAACAGACACCCAAACTATTCTGCCACATCATTACCCCATGATTACAATCAATTTCTCAAGTCAATGGGCATAAGAGCCAATGTATGAACAGTTTGGTAACTTTGCTAAAAACAAATTTTGGAGATTGAATATCACACTACAGCAAAGTCAGTGTTGTGGATTAAGCCAGTCTTAATACCTAATTTTATACCATGCCACAGAAAACACAGCCAATCAGAATACAGGAAAGTCATTGCATATTTGACAGTATTAAATCCAGCCTTCCTGTCATGCGCCGTGCATATGTTGTATCGACTGCATTGGCACTGTTTTTCCTATGGCATGGTATAAAATATTTATGCAATGCTCTCTCTCATATTATACCATGGAATATCCCACTTGTCGCTTGTATTTTCTTGGTAAACACACTCAGCTTAAGGCTCATGTGTATACCAATAAAATACAAGTGACTTGTGGGGTATTCCATGGTACACCACTAAAAAGCATTGCATCTAAACTACTATTTACTTGAATGGATTCATATTTAATTTTTTTGCCCAAACTAATTTTTGTGGTATCTTTTATCAAGTCATCAAACTTTTGAAGTTTTACAGATAACATGAAAATAATGATTGTTATGTTAACCCTAATATAGCATTGCCTTTATACAGCAGGTTACCTTTTCAATCTGTAATCTAGAGTTAGCCATGTCTTGATCTGCTTTCTGGAATGCTTGCAATGCTTGCTCAGCTTCTTCACTTGCCTTCATAAAAGATCTCTTACTCTAAGAGAAACAAAAGCACAATGTTTAGTGAATCTTTACTATATTAGTTCAAGTTAATTCAAAATATTTGGTGATGAGAATGTAATTTCCTGGTGCACTGTTCATCATTCATCAGTCTCTAGCAGAAACTAAATTGTGGATCTAGCTAAATAAACTCAGTAGTGCATAAGGGATAATAACATTTGACCTTTAATAAATACAAACAAAATCCTTGATAAAATGTTACCACTACTCCATCAATATACTTGTGAGAGTGGATGAATGCAAGTCAATTGGACCTGTTATGGATCTTGAACCACAGTTTTTGTTCAATAAAAGAGAACACAATGGTTAAAAATCCAGACAATTTTTGTAGTCCTGGAAATATCCTCTTAAAAGAGTTCTGTATTTCTAAATTAACCAGACATTGGCTCAGTAAAAAATAACACTAGAAGACCAACAGACCTTATCATTTACAAGTGATACCACTAACTTCTAACTAACTTAATGTTTCTGTAATGTTTTGAGTTCATCATACTGCAACTTTAAATCTGTTGTGCTTAACCTAGTTTATCAATGTACTTACATTTTCTAAAGCTTTCATTGATTGTTCTAAGAGTTCTTGAACTCTCTTACCCTCAGACAGATGCTGAAATAATCATGAGAAGCAAATCATTATGCTTACATCTTATGTTCCATTACAGAGGGCCAAAATTCACAGTAAGACAGTCAGACTTTTCTACTGTCCTGATATCCTGCAATATCAAGTACTCATATGGCCAGATTTATGGCCACACTTGGATATGGTAAGTACCTAATCACCCCTTTCATGGTTCACTTCAGAGCTATATATCAGGTTTATTTGACTTCATCATGTTTGGTCCAAGTTTGGCTTGACCAAACTCGCCAAAATACAAACCATAATTCAACCAATTCCACTGATATGTCGCTAAAGTGTACTGAAAAGGTATGATCAGGTACATATGCTGGTGTTGCCAGTTATCTAATCAAAACTGTAAAGTCTGTACGTACTTTTAGCAAATGGTCTGCCATGAGAGTATGGCCTTAGGTAGTGTAAAACTACAGCAATGTGCAGATTATGATGTCTAATACTATCACAGATAATGGATCATATGTTTCTCACATGTAAACTATGCATCACAAAAACTAACTAGTTCAGACTGTCCGTAATCAAAGAAAAAGCAGAAAATGGAAATTTAGGAAACGTATCATTTGGTAACATCACAGGAACTAACAGATTCTACTGATAAAATCTCCTGTCATAAACATTATCCCATGGTCAATTTAAAATTAGCTTTAGGTGCTCACAGAATTGGTGACTATTTAACTAGCGTAATAAAACTTTCTCTGGTGTTTTAAGTCTACAGAAGGGGTTCAGAACTACCTTTACTTTTTCACAAATATGTATTATATAGAGGATATTACATGGCTGCACAGAGATATCAAATTTCTCTTCAAGTGTTGAAAAAAATTTCACAAGTTTGCTGCACTTACTTGTGAAATATTTTTCAACATAAGAAGAGAAATTTCATATCTCCAAGCGAGCATGTAATGTTCTATTTATTATATAAACACCAATAATAAAACCACTTCACAACAAAAGGCATGATTTATGACTAGCCATAACAAGGGTGATCTTTTCACTTGCAAAGACAACATGTCATTTTCAATTGTGGACTAGAATAATTATTGTCTTTTTGTGAGAAAGCTCACCTGGTATCTCATTGATGTTTATACGATAAAGTGCAATGTCTTTCAGTATTATTACTACCTGGAGAGTTGTCGAATACTTTGGAAAGTTTTGCCGTACATATAAAACATACATGTACCTTTCGTCTGTCAGTCTTAAGTTCAGTGTGTAGTAAATGCAAATCCTTCCATATTTTTTCCATTAAACTCTCTGATATCAGCTCATGTTGACCAGCTAAATCATCTGTCTCTTTCACTACACCAATGAAAGCTTTTTGGAATGAAAATCTGGAAATTATAACATACATATATAATCATTCAGTAAATACCATCATTTTGCATTTATAAGACCTGCTACACTCTTTTGCATGCTTGACTTGAGTTTTTGGACCGTCCAATGGTCCAATCTTCAAAGTTGGCTTCAGTGAAGAAAATCCTCTTCATATGTCTTGCGACAACTGTGATGGTCATAGCACAGGTATTAATCAAGAAATGAGAAAACTGCAAATTATCTAGGGTGGCACATGCTACTGAACTGTACAATTCCTATACATGTAGGTTAAACAACTTTCAATATCAGTCAAAGTGCTTTATGTATTAGCACATTGTTGTGATAGAGGCCCTTTAGGCAAACACTACTCTTGAGGATAAATTGAGTTCTCCTATTGGCTATTTGCAATTATTGTGACTTTTCAGTACGGGCTATTACAACATTGTAAGCCACAGTTTTTGGTTTCTCTGGTGAGATTTTTCTAGCCTGTGAACAGTCTCCTGATTGGGTTACGGGTGAAGAAAAAAAAGGTGGGCAAAGGTAACTGAGAGTGATCTGGGGAGGTAGAATTGGTGTGGGAGCATGTAGACATTCTTGTGATGCTGCCAATCCAATTTGATACCAGAATCTGGTATTGTGATATGATTGTTATATCACTGACTGTTGACAGCCTAGAGATGAACATTGAGAGATCTTGACAATGGCTTGCAAATTTTTTATAATAATTATTTTTGCCAAAACCCCACATGTAATGCTCTGTTTACATGCGTTGCACGGGGAATTCACTACAAGATTTATCTCATGTCCCTGGTTTGAAACATTGCAGAAGCTATACGTGGAAATTGTGGCTAGGAAGCAGTGTGTTTTTGGCATTCTCCCAACTGGTTTTGGAAGAGTTTGCGAATCAAATGAAAAACATACAGGCTTCAACCACGTGCAGCTTGCTTTGCTCACCTAATTTTGTTCACACTTGTCAGATTGCTTTGCTTGCCAAATTCTCTTTGCCTTGTGAGGAAACTTTTCATAGTCTATAATTTTCAGTATGGATCATTACTAATCATTTTTACACTTACAGGAAATGAAAGAGAAGTATGTTCTTGATAATTCAGAACTAAGAAACTCTTATCAAGAAAGCCTGTTCACAATCCATGATAAAAATGTTTGCAAATTTATTGATCAAAAGCCTTTGGATGATTATTTGAGAGTCTTCACTCTGGAATCATGAACAATTAACTTACACATGTTCTTCCTCCTTTCTCTTTGGGTTATATGTCTTGGCTAATTTTCTATGAAGTGACAAGAGAAAATTGATTTTAACAAGTGAACGCAAGCACAAGGTACAATATATCAATCGTTTATGTGTGTACTCACCCAGTTCAAATGCTTATTAGGGGTGGACCATGTAACTTTTAAGGAGGGGAGGGGGATTTGAAAAAATATCCTGCAAGCATACTTGTACCAAAAAAAATTAATGCACACTACCACTGCCAAAAAATTTCATGCACCTCAGTCAACCAAAAATAAGCATGCTACACAGGAAAAAATATCATGCACAAGCATGTCTCAAGTAAACAAAATACCAAATCCTCATAACCCCACCCTCAAAAGTCAATTGGTCCAGTTCTTATGTACAATGTACAAAACACAGTGGGTATCAATCACCAATAATTAAAATACTTGCTAAATCTGAGGTGTATGGTTGACACTCTCCTTTCTTCCAAAAAGCAATTCTAGCAGTTACCATAAAGTGTCATGCAAGTATATGCTGTCTTATAATTACTTCTTATAAGATTAAATTGTTAACTATAATAACTTCAGCATCAAAAAAGAAAAAAAAATAGAAAAGAGGGAAAACAACTGACACCATTTGATTTTTGTCAGTTTAAGTCATAGATAAACATACACTATACATGTAGAAGCTGGCAGGGCAAATACTCTTAGCGCAACCTGTGCTCAGCCCTGACTGAGAACTTGTCAGTGGAAATTAAATTAGCTATTGCATAATCAATTGTGCTTAAAAAAAAATCATTTCTGCTAAAGAAGGATCTTATAGGGACATGAATTAATAAATAAACATATAAAATTAAAATCTTAATTGACCACTCCCCTAATGGAGCTTTTCAGGGCCAATGGAAACAAATAATACAAATGAACATAACATGGCTAACTGGCACGAGGCAGACCAGTAGGCTATTTACAAGCATGGCCAAGAATTTGAACTCACAACTGCTGAGAACAACACCAGCTAGTGGTCAGAACAGCACCTGAACCCACTACTGATTGGTGCCTCAAAAAGAGTGAAAACTAATTAAAAATGAATTGCAATAGTTGAATGTGAAACATACAGTCTTTCAGTTTCAAATGTTAATGATAATATTTTGTTTTCAAAATTGCACTGACTTTCTATTCAGTATAGTTAACTCAGGAAAAAACAGTCATTGTTGAGAGCTAACTATTCATTCGTAAAGGTTAAATATATGTCAACAGATACCTGCTAAGAGACCAAAACAAAGGATCTTTTGGTGTCCATTCTAATGCTGGAAAACCATCAGTCTTAAGAAAATTACTCGCAAGCCCTAGCTCTTTACAATGACTGCAACTGACTGTGCAATAGACCACTTCCAAGTTGGCTTTTGCCTCTGTGTGAAAACGAGTCTTCGTGTGAAACCATCCACATGAAAATATGTTCTGCCTAGAGGTTCATTTTCATGTAAATCAAACTCATTTTCATATGAAAGATTTTGCATGAGGGCCCGTTTTGAATCAGAGGCACATAGTAACTCAGAAATGCCCTATTATAGCCAATAATTAGTCAGAGTGGTTTAGTAAAAGAGCACCAGACTTAGCAGAAACTCAATGTTTTTTTTAAATAATTTACCAGAAGTAATAACATTTCATTTTCTGATGCCTCAGATTACATTTCCAAGAGTTTGTTTGTTTGTTTGGCTTTAAAAAATGTTTCTGGAGGGATACACTGGAGGGAACATGTCCCTGGACCCTCCTTCACCAATCTTAAGCCTACTGATCTACCTTTTGGGGAAAAAATTGAATTTTATATGTAAGTAAGTGATGCAACAATCAAACAACAAGTGCTACATGAGGAAATAAACTTAACTTAAACTGGTAACTTACATGTATAAAATAATGAGGTTCACTGAGTCGACTGAATGACCATTCTTTTACAAAGTAGGAAAGAAAGACATGAGCTTATATTTGGAGTCTTTCTGGCATAGTTGTTTGTAATTACGAAATTCATATTCCAAACAATTTCACTTTACACTATGTTGTAAATTACGATTCACTTAAATCTGTCATGACAGTCTGTTTATTCACAAAAGTTTTGTTTTGTCAGATTGTAACATGATTTTCAAAGCAAGTCGATTTTGAATCACACCAGGCCAAGCTGAAGTCGAAAAGTGAAATCTGATGACTTTCAAACATTAATTTGTCATGCTAAACTATTAAAAAATACGCTCATGTCATGCTTTAAAATTAGTCTGTGTTTCAATCCGTTCTACTGACCACACATGGCTCCCTTAAGACTGCAGAGTAGTAAACATAACATAAAACCAAGCTAAACACTCAGGATAATATTTCTAAAGAGTAGTTACGTTAATTATTAGAGAAAAACTACGCATGTACGGAACGTAAACTAAGATTATAAATAGCACCAATCAGCTGTCTGGTGTAAAACATGCTCATCATCGAACAATAGTTGCAGTTCGAAAACCAGAATTCGAAAACCAGAATTCGAAAACACAGAACACGAAGTTGCCCTAAAAACTTCCACACTACATTAATGCTTCGCAAACATCACGAACAAATGGAATACTCCATAGACAATATACTAGCTGTTCGTATTACGGCATGGTTGATTTCGATTTCGCTATCTAAAATTCCACCAAAACCCTGCCTTACCGTAGCTCCTTCGCATATCGCGATTCGATCTCGCATCTTTCCTTCACGAACTTTGCTACCTTATCCACGAATTCGATTCCAGCATTCGTGTGGTTGGCTATGAGATCAAACTGGTCCTAAAAGCCAAAAGAAAACGTGAGAGAGATATTAAACTCTTCACTTCCAATAAGGAATATCGTGCACTTCCAGTGGTGTCGGATTAGAGTCAGGAAGGCAAGCTGCGACAGAGTCAAGCGAGCAGTCAAGCTTTTGACCGCTTACCCAAAGTTCTGTTCCCCAAGACATTTTAACAATCACAACAGCACCAATTCAGGAGGTGTACGAAAATAACAGGTCTAGAGATATGGCCAGATTCCCTCGCTCATCATTGAAAACGTAATTCTTCCAGAATGTCAGGCTGCAATGGCACTTTATTTGCATATGAAGAACCGGAGGTGCAAGAATGTGCGGGCTCATACAGCTAGACGTGGGTGGAGCTATCTTGTAAACGCACCCCGGAAAGAGGGCCAACTTGTGTGTGGAACGATCTTTTATGCCATGATTTGTTTATCTTTTTGCAAAATTCACACCAAAAACTGGGAGTTGCATTTATGTCAGGCTTATAACTTTAGCATGTAGAGCTGTTTTTTAATATCGCAGTTTCATAAACAGACATCGCACCTACTTCCTATTATTGTCTCCAGTCTTGACTCGGTGCCTGAGCCAGTGCACAAAGCTCCGCCATCTATTCGATTCGCACACTCCCGCAAATCAAATAGATAGCTGAAATTCAGGCTACCGCCTACCCGGACACTAGAGAAATCGAAGTAAACTTTACGTCCCCTGAATAAGGATCGTAGAGGGATGAAATGGGGTGCTGTTTGGTGTCTGATGCTAATACAAAATATTTGTTTTGAACGCAGCACAATGTATTCTCTCCAGCTGACCACTTTGCTACAATTTTCAAAAATTGACCTTCACCTTGGAAAAAGATACATGTAAAACCTTGATCTTTCTCGGCCCGACGGACAGGAAGACTTCTCACATCCGTTCTATATCTGCCCATCCAGAACTTGTGAACATTGCTCGGCAGAGTAGCCTTTGTCGGCGTCTAGAAGTAGAAAAATCTTCGGGCAATGATCGTCAAAATTTGTAACCTGTTCTGAGCTGGACGAAGAAACTACAGTTTAACATCGCTATCTCGAAATCTCGGGGGAGAAAAATAGCTAACAATTATTCCACGGCCACGAGCGTGCGTTGAATATGAGTTGGCTATAATCATCTCATATCCAACAAGCGCGAGTGGAATAATTGTTTTATTAAAAACGCCCCCCAAAATATAGAAAACTTAACCAAAATATAAATGAAAACGCCCTAAAAAAATCGCACGTATGCTTACCATATTCGTAGAGCATGGTATAATGGCTCATAACCCATGATGGCCAAGCCAATGAAAACTTTCGAAAAGCATTATCCAATGATCCAGTTTGTAATAATTCGAAATAGCCGATAGTAATTGACTGAGGGGCAAACTGCCGTGGAAAATGGTTTTGAGTTCTGTTTGTTGTTGTTGTTGTTGTTGTTGTTGTTGTTGTTGTTGTTGTTGTTGTAAATACTATGAAGATGCTGATGATGATGGTTATGGTTATGGCGAAGGTCGCTGTGATAAAAATGGTGATGATGATGACGACGACGATTATGACGACAGCGAGGTCACCGTTAATGGAAGTTAACTCATGCTCGTCGTGCCCCGCAGGACAGCTAAGGCCAATCAGAACAGCCCTCCATCCATCTCGGTTCCTCGCAGACACTGTTGCAGCTCCCCTGATTACTGCCATCCGGTCGCCTTCCACTCTCTCTCTACACTCTTCCTCCAGGTCGTTCGTGGTCTGCCCGGTCTTCTTTTGCCTTCTGGTGCCCAGGAACATCCTGTTGTTCCAGCAGCCAACTCTGAGAGTTGACATCGGAGTTTTCTGATATGTAGTTCGAGGCTTTAATTTTCAAATATCTTTTCAATCTTTGCTTCCAATGTTCTTATTCGATTTTGACCAAGAGTACCTTTTCGCCGGTTATTTTACTTCTCTAAAAACCAGCAACGACGTTATTTTTATTCATCGCAGAGTCCAATTAATTTTCCTTAGCCCCTGTCAGAGTTCTACTAACAGGCGTCACTCTAGAGCGCCACCTCTCCATGGTACATTTTTGTCCCAAACCTACACCGATCCATGTTTTACTCTTATTGAAATCTCATTACAAAGGCTTACTCTGTACAACGACCAGTTAATTCTCTCCCATTATGATCCTTGTCAGATAGGTTCTGGTTGTTCTAAGCTGGCTGAACTATGCATTCAGGTTTGAGACGGGGGGGGGGGTAATCCCTTGTATGGGCTATATAGGTATGTACGGCCCCAAAGGGCAGGGTTTTTCAGCCGTTTTGGTCATAAATAGGGTGTCGATTTTGGCCATTTTGGTCTTACATAGGGTATGGGTTTTGTGCTTTAGTCTTGAATTGGGTATGTTGTTTAGAAGAAGCTACTTTTTCATCATTATCGATAAGATCATAAGCAAAAGCCGTTCAAAACTTATGTTTAGGGGAACTGTGTGAGCGGCAACTGTAGCTAACTGTCATAAACAGGGTATCGAATTTTTAGTCAGGTCATAAATAGGGTAGGGAAAATTGCAGATTTTGGTCATAAATAGGGTAAGGATTTTGGGAAGCGGGCCGCGCAACCCACAACCGGGGTTTGAGAGTAACTTTTCTACTGGAATGCTCTTTTTCGTCACATACACCATTCCATATTGTTTTGTCATAAATATTCGCTCCAATGAACGATGACTTTCGCTAAGTGAAAGCCTTGGCAGGTCCTCAGATACTGAAATTTTATTCAGAAATATCAGTTATTACTAATAGGGTAGGAAAGAAGTGACACAACTGTGTCACGAGAGTTCACTAAAGCGTTGGGATGCTTGTACACAAAATAATATTTAATTAAAAGAGATCAGGGTCCGGTTTGTTCAAAAGCCGATTAACACTAATCCAGGATGAATAGTTTTATTTTTTAAGTAACTTACGGTTAGCCAAACCTTCATGAACGAAAGCCAACAAATGAAATATATCATTTTTGACAACTTCAAAACTGAACTTTCGTAAGAGCTAAAACAAGATGCACGATAACTGATATGGAATCCCCTAGCTTGCTCTCTTGTTCAAGGCTGACGCTGCTGCATTTTGTCTCGCACCATGTCCATGTGCATGTGGTGCTTGATTTGCCAGAGGTGGCACACAACCAGCCCACAACTCCGTGCTCCTCGCGGTACTATAAACGCGCGACAGGGACGGTACATGCGGAATATCTCTTGGACCATATCCTCATCTTGAAGTCGGGTATTTCCTTTAATTAAGAAAAAAAATACGGACATGGAAACTTTACGGTGACAGTTAATTAATTTGTTTGTTTTTAATTTCTCGTATAGGTCGATCAACACGTTCTTTTCGATCAGCATTTTCTTTACAACATTTGATTAACCTGTGACATCAATCAGGGCGATTTTTCCGTGCTCGCGAAAAATTGTCTAGATCGCAGATGACATTAGGATAGGTCGCAATACCACCCTTTGCTTCTCACTGGTTGGGGTGGGGTGAGCAACTGACACTCTTCCTCTACCAGTGGCAAACTTGACGCTACGTAAGCTTCAAATCAAATCAAAAACTTTATTTAGGTGCAAGTCTATAACCCCTCTACAAACTGAAACACCCCTCTACAAATTAATTTGGACACGCTTGACGATATTAATGAATGCCTACTATTACAGTGTAACTAATGGGAACCTGGTAAACCTAGGAACCTAAATGATCTATACTGATTACCTTCCCAGTCAAAAACCTAAGAACCTAAACTATCTATGTAGAAGCCTTCAGGTGTAACCATTCAAATCAGGGGTATTGAACAGCACTTTCAAATGGTGGAACTTGTTTGAACAGCAAGCAGCAATTTTTGAGATTTTTTTTTAACATGACCTACCATTTCTTGAGACTGAAAGGCTTGAGTTACAAATCACAAAGAACATAAAATACTGGCAAACCACAACTATTTAGCCTAATAATCTACTTTTGTGAAGGGTTAGACCATTTGACTTTTGAGGGGCAAGGGTGATTGGTATAGACATGATTTTTTTACCCTTTTAATGCACTAGGAATGCTTTTCTTAGGACTTGTTGGTGTGTATGCATGGTATTTTTTTCTCAATTTAACATGCTTCTTTTTAGCTCACTGAAACATGTGGGTGATTTTTTTTTTCCGCCATAGTCATCATGCATAAATTCTTTTGGTCCAAGGATGTTTGCGAGATATATATTTTTTTCAAAATCACCCACCCCTCCCCCTCAAAAGTCACATGGTCCATGCCTTAAAATATTTCAGCCTTGTCCCTACACTAAGTCAATTTCTTCACACCTTGAACAGACTATGTGTATGTAAGTGAAGATATCAGTTCTGGAAATCAGATGCTAGCAGAAATATTAATTATTTTGTTAGACTACTATAGGCTCTACAGATAGACATAATATCAACATTATTTGACAATAATTACTACCAGTATTGATGAAGTATTATTTCAGCATAATGAGAGGAAAAAACTAAAAAATAATAAATACATTTCAATCTCTTTGGTGAATAAATACTCGATAGTTAAAAAAATTTCCAATCATTTCATACAGAGATCAATAAAAGACAAATCTCTTACTGATTATTTTTTAATATTTCATACTTTTTTGTGGCATGCCTGTAAATTAGAACTTTGTCTCAAAAGACAATCTGAAGAGGATGTTATTAATTCTGTTATGATGCAGAGCAGAGAGACCTGTGTACATGTATAATGTAGCCTATCTAATTAGCTTACAACCATCCAAGATAAATTGCAGCTGATTAGGGTAGAAGATTGCATGCAAGAAAACACTTAGTGCAGAGTCAACCAAGTTTACTGAAGTATGTGACAAAAGAAACTGGAAATAGCTCAGAAGGATGGAGGGGAAGAGATAAACCTAGCAGTGTTTGATTACTACATCACAAAAATTTGCCTCCAAGAGATGTTTAATATATAGCCAAGAGCAACCCTAGCTTTTTGAGTGCTCTCTGAACTCAGTAGTGCATCCATAACTAGATAAGAATACAGCTAAAAGCACATTCAAACCATCTCCTTTTCTAACATGGTGACAGGGATTGGGAAGTTAAGGTCGACACACATGAGGGGACAAGTCCCTGTAATTGTTCCCTGCAACTAGTCGTGGGGACAAGTCCCATCATGCGAACTAGCCTTTTTTACCACAAAATTTAGTCCTGGGGACTAAAATTTGGTCCCTGCGACTAGTCTCACGAATTCAAACTGGTGTGAATTTTGGGACAAGTCCCTGCGACTTGTTCCTCAAAACACTTCATGTGAACTGTTCTTGGGACAAGTCCCTATGACCAGTTCCTTGTGTAAACTCTTCAGGGGACTAGCTGCAGGGACTAATTGCAGGGACTAGTCCACCCCTCGTGTGTGCCGACCTTTACCGCTAAATATGTGTCCACACATTAGAGAGGTTAAGCATGACATTTACGTGAAATGGCAAACTGCAAAAATGAAACTTTTGCCATCTGTCTTCAGCTGTCTGTACAGTAGAGCGAAAATATTTGTATTTGCGGTGAATAGTAGGAGACATTTTTCTATGTTTATGAGATTTATTTAAGGATTAGAAGAAAAGAATAAAAAATCAGAGGTAATATTTGCTGTTTGCCGTCTGCCATAAATGTCATGCTTAAACTCTCTATTATAGAAACCTGTTTTGTTGCTTTAGAAAAGCAGCTATATTTGCCCTAAATGATGACTCTGTATTGAGTTCATTTTATCTAAGATTTCTGTTGCTTACAGCAAGTGGAAAAAATCTGCTTAGAGGAGATAGCTTTTTCACAGATTGATTTTGTATGGAGCGTTGGTCTGCAGTCATCAAGTTCTGGAACATGCTTGCACTATTGATTTAGATTGCATGGATTTAACAGATTAATGATTTTAGCCTGCTTTTGGAAGAATTTCTTGTTCCCACAAAGCTGTAAACTCATCACTCATCTATTTTGCATATAGGAGTAAACTCTGGTTCTTAGTAGCTAACCAGAGTTTGTGAGCCAAACAGAAAGCTAGAAGTACAATCAAAGTTTGTGAGTGCCTCACAAGCCCCCACCTCCCAGTCTAAATAAGTTTGATAGAGTAACAAACTATTGCTCTCCACTGGAGAAGTCCATTAAGTAAGAGAAACACTGGCCTTTTGATCAAGTGTCCACTGTTTCAAAGCCTGAATTCCACCTGCCGTCAATGAACAGTGTTTCTCAACAAAGCCATCAGGAAGTGGCTTATCAAGACCAATCGCTTCACTGGCCTTCAAGGCAATGCTGCCATCAAAATTGACAAAACACAATCGCACAGTGAGCTCTTGCACTGGTCTAAGAAATGCAGGACCCCCAGGCATGAGAGCAACTGATACCTCTTCAAAGATTGCATCACACATCTGCTGGGCAGTGATTATACCACGATTAGCCAGAGCACACCTAATCACTTCAAAATCTGGGAACATGTAAAATCCTCCCTGTGGTTTCACAGCCTTCACCCCAACCTCTGTAAGGTGCCGATAACTGTAGTCCGCTACAGCTGCCAAGATGCGACGCAGGTGGGACATGTATGCTTTTGATTCTTCGGATAGACTCAGGTAGGTCAAAGCGGCATACTGCATGGGTGCAGCTGCGCATGAGTAGGTGTGGCTTGCAGCACTTTTGACAGCATCTAGCAAAGGCCTTAATTCTGACGGGTAGATATGGTAACCTAACCGCCACCCTCCAGCACTAGCCCATTTGGATAAACCTGAACTGAGTATGGTGTTCTCGGGGTAAAACTTGGCCAATGAGCAGTGGTTTCCTGAGAACTGCAAGCGTCCGTAAATCTCATCCGACAATACAATGGCATTGTGTTTTCTGAGCATGTCGACCAGTTCTTTCCAATGTTCTTCAGTGTACACAGTACCAGTAGGATTGTCTGGGTTTACCAAGATGATCATCTTGTTTTTTGCAGACGATTGGCCAAGAACTCGATCCAGAATGTCAGGAGTTACTCGCCAATCATGCCGGTACTCGGTTGTTATAACGATGGCATCATGATGTGCAAGCCGAGCCTGTGGTTTGAAGGTGGTCCACGTGGGAGACAAAACAAACACGTCGCCATTGAACACGCTGAGAAGAAGAAAGATCAGCTCTTTGGAGCCTGGTCCAACAATAATGTTTTCTGATTTAACATCAACGCCATCAAACTCTCGGTGAAATTCAGAGATCGATTTTCTCAGCTCTGGAATTCCAGCCACAGGCAGGTAAGCATTTTTTCCGGCGTTCTGGACAAGGGTCGAAACAGCTGACTCCATGACCGGGAACGGAGATTGACCAAACGCAAGGTGATACACTATTTTGCCAGCAGCCATAAGTTCTTTCACCCTCTCGTTCAGTAGCAAGTTGGAGGCAGGAGAATATTCGTTAAGATCTTTACGGACTAAATCTTCATGTGTTTGAGTCATCTCGGTCATCTACCTGGCCAACCCTCGCGTGTTCGCACCAATAGTAGGATAGCCACAGACTGTCTGATCGTACGTGAGTTCTATGTTTCACAAAATGCCCTTTTAATTAAGAAAATCAATGCCTATACACTGACTCTACATCTATTACGTCTTTAACTCCAATCGTCCCAGATCAGGATGCTCCAAATCTATCGCCGACAGACGAAGACAAGCCAATTTCAACCTTGTTCCCAGGCTCTCTCTCCTTCAGGGAGGCAGATGTCCCAGGCTCATCTCGGCCGATTCTCAGCCGTTCCATGAAGTTCCATGAAGCCCTTCGGGCTGTGTATCAAAACATGGAGGACTGAAGGAGATAAACAGAGATATGGATTCGGTCAATCGAGAGACTGCACATCGACATCCGGTAAATTGTTTTTTTTTCTTTTACGATGGACCAGACATGGTTTGACAAGATTACCACAGAACTATGACTTATATGTAAACATTATTTTTTTTAACGACTTTAATATCAATTAACTCAAGTTTATGTCGTTTAGTGCATGGTTAATTTTATTTTTAGAGTGTCCCATCTCTTCAGATTTTTCCTGAAGTTTCTTCTATCGTGATTATTATACCCTTTTTACGGTGCAGAGGGAATCCGGCAATAGTTAAGCTTACGTGATGACTACATGTACAAGTAAACAAGTATTAAATGTTGAAATTCAGTTTTATGGAAAGCTTTCCATAAAAGCTCATTCTCTTACCGCCGGCACACCCTGGACACCGTTCCGGCATTTGGGAACATTTATCACTGGCATCACAAATCTTCCCTGGGTGTTGACTGCCAGCATGCCTGGCAAGATGAGCTGAGTTCAACTTTGTGGACAACGGTACTTTTCAGATTAACAAATAGATTCCATGTTGCCGTGCGTCTGTTCAGTAATAGATCACAGATGATGTCAAAATGTGGTAAGAACAAAAAAGTGGCACACGAG